TTTTTTTATTATTATTATTATTTTTATTTTATTTTTTATAACTAGTAACGAGTTTCTTGCCATTTTTTTTCCTCCTAATTGACCGGATAATTGTCTCAATTTCGCAGGAAAGGGGATGTAGTTTTTGAAGCATAGTTATTAAAATTGAAAAAAGAAAACATATTAGTTTTGACTTAAAAAAAAGTTTAAAATATTAAAGTTAAATTATATTATATTATTTAATTAAAATTTAATTTAACCAATGATGTGATCATTTTTTTAATGAAAGTAAGATGTCATGAGTTCGAATCGTATAGCATGTGTGTGAAGTGAGATAAGAAACGAGAGATAATTGCCTTTCATTGTGTAATTAAGATAAAAAAATAATTTAAAATTTAAAATTTTATATAATTAGATTTAGGAATTAATTAAATTTTTAAATTTTGAATTAAAATTTTAATTTTTAATTACAGGTTGTAACTTTAATTTGTTTAAAAATCAATACTAATACATACTAACTTCATTAAAATTATGTAATTTTAATTGTTTGTTCATCTACTTTTTTAGGTCTGACTATTCTTTAAATAGAACCATACGAAATTTAACATGATTTTTATCTTCATATTAAAAATTTGTGCAAAACAGGTTTTACTATAATAATTTTCATTTGGTTAAAAAATTATATGTCTATTTTTCTTTAAAAATTAAGTTTAATAATTTTAAACTGAAAAAATGTTTTTATTTTTATTAAAAAATAAATTTAGTTTGGATGAGATACCACCTTTATTAGGGGAAGAGATTTATATTTTAAATTAGATTGTATAATAAAATTATAATTTAAATATAAATAATCAAATAATATATGAAATTGTTTCATTAAAAATATTTATTAAATTTATAAATCCAACTGTATTTTTATTCTATAGTCTAATATAAAAAATAAAAATATTTAAATCATAATATTACATAATTATTATAAATATTATAAATTTATAATATGATATATTATTACATAATTTATTTTTTTATTGAAATATTTATTTTTAATGTTATATATTAATTTATTTAATAATATATTATATTTATTTAATAACATATAAATTTATAATATTACATAATATAATATTATAATTATAGAACTTCAATATAAAAAACACTTTCTATCGCACCAAAATGGAGCAGAGAAAAATTTGCGCCCACTTAAATGAAGTGAGGGATTAAAAATAAGTTTTTGTCCTTAAATTACCGACTGACAGCTGTTCCCCGTCCCCAAAACTGGGGGCTTGCGCAATTGCCATCCCTGGTTCTAGACAAAGTCGTGACTGTAGAGTCTGAACAGACTGTACTGCTGCTTACTTGGCCTTTCCTAGATCCTCCACCTTTTTTCGGCACTTTTTCTGTTTTCCCATTTGTATGCTCAATATTCAACACGCCTCATCCAAATAAAATACTTTACTGTACATTGACTAGCAGTTGCGGAGAAAAAGACTTCTATTTAATTATCTTTTCTCAGAAAAAAGAAAAAAAGAAAAAAGAAAAGAAAAGAAAGAGTCTTCCCTTGAAAGTTGAATCAAACAATGTTGTTTCAGCCAGGAGGGTCATAGCATCAGAAATCGCAGGCAAAGTTCTCTCCTTTTCTCCTCTGATCGTTTTCTTATCCAATCAAATCAAAATTTCATCTTGGGTGAAATTCTACTCAGGGGAGACATGGATACTGAGGATCCACCGCGCCAACTGACTGGAGTGGTTATAATCACTCTTCCGCCGCCGGATAATCCTTCTTTGGGCAAAACAATCACAGCTTTTACACTTACTGAGGATGATGTTCAGGCTCAATCTCACCAAACCCATCAACAAGAAGAACCTGAATTACCAATCCAAGTTATCCAACCAATCCCACCACCACCCCCACTGCCAAATCTCTTTTCTGGGTCCCCAAGAAAGCTTTTGGGCTTTTTGGGTATCTCTCTTTTTGCACTTGTTCTTTTTTCTTCTGCTTTCTCGAGTACCTTTCAAGATTTGAGCGATTCCAATAATGAGGATCAGAAGCGCCAGTCTTTTATCCTACCTTTGTATCACAAATTGGGAATTCGAGAGATTTCACAAGATTTGCAACTTAAGTTGGGGAGATTTGTTGAACCGAATATGCAGAATTGGGCGGCTTTTGTGGATGTTGGCGCAACGGGAAACAGGAAGATCGATAAATTTGTGGCTGCAAATGATGCTGTGATTGACTCATCCACTATTTTGCCTGCCAAGGGCAGTGTTTTTCCAGATGGGTATGCGTCCCTCAATCCCGTTGCCTGATTATCTCATGTCTTCCTTTTATTCTTATATAATTGAGAGATGGGGGACTGATTTATTGAGATTTTAGATATTTTTAGTTTTTTTTTTTTAGTTGGATACATATTGAAGCTAACTTTACAATGCTATTTTATTATGTTTGAGAACCATGAAAATCTATGTATTCTAACTGCTTAATGTCTTCAAAGTAAGTTACTTTATACTAGATTTAGTAAGGCTATACATCAGAGGAAAGTATAAAGAATCCTTCAGCTTGCTGCATCCTTCACTGTTGCAGTTACTATTTTGGCATGATTTCTTGAATTCGAAAGAAGTATTAAGTATCATGCTTAGAAAAACTGTATTATCTTGTTTTGACACTAATCCAACCCAAAAGTAAGAAAACTGACTAGATGAATTATTTGCAAAATTAATTTGGGGATGAGTGGGGGAGGGGGAGAGGTTATGCTGCCTTTAGGTTGCAAAGATGGCAATTGCAGTGCAGCATTATTTCTACAGGCTAAAGTTGAATTCTGATGCCCACCAAGAAATGGTGTGTAAGTAAGAAAATTAGCATAGAAAATGTTGCTGCAGGGTGCAGCAGCAAGGCTTGTGATGGATAAGCTACAATTTAGATGAACACTGGTTGTAAGATGAGATCAATAATGTTTACTGCAGTAGCTACAATAGTGATGATGGTGGCTACAATGGCAATTTTAGAAGTTAGACCTGGTTTATGATCATGATGGCAATGCAATGGCCTTAAATAATACATACCCATATAGTTTTATCATTCACGGTTACTTTGTGGATTAATGTCATATAAATTGTTTTTTCTACTTTCAAATCTTTTTAACACGTTTGATTTGTCGTATTTTGAAACTAAAATATTCGTCATTCCATAGATTATATTTCACATATATGCTTGTTGGGAATCCTCGAAGACCTTATTTTCTTGATATTGATACTGGGAGTGACTTAACATGGATTCAGTGTGATGCTCCTTGCACCAGTTGTGCGAAGGTAATGCATTTTCTACTCCTCTCTGTAGCCTTTATTTATCATCTCATCCTTCTGGAATCCAGATTTCTAATATTTGCTTGAATGTCTAACAAGTGCCCAATTGCTCTTTGGTACTATTTGCTATACTAGTGTTTGAGAACTTCTAATTTCGTCTCATTTCTTTTCTTTATTAAGTGAGCATACCAACCTGCCATTTCTTTTCTAGTTCTCTCTCTCTCTTTTTCTTGGCCTTCCCTCCTTTTCTTATCCTCTCTAGGGATTTTGGTTGTGTTCTTTTTAGTTTGCTCAGTAATATAACAGTGTAAAATAAACACATATTGCATGTTATTTTGTTCTTGTGCAAAAGAAAACCAAAAAGAGCTACCTGATTGGTGCCACATTTGAATGTGCGCATCATGTCAATTTTCAAGTTCTTGATAAAAGATGCACTTTCTCCACTGAGACAAAAGATACCAGTATTAAATGGGCAGGAAAAAAAAAGAAGAAAAGAAGCAAAAAGGAGGGAAGCCTTTTTATTAGATAATGCACTGCATCAAGACTGAATCTTTTAATATAAATTTTATCAATTTGTGATAAGTCAGCTAGAATCTAATGCATACAGTTGATGTAGGGGGCAAATCCTTTGTACAAACCCACAAGAAGAAACATAGTACCACCAAAGGACACAATGTGTTTTGAAGTACAGAAGAATCAAAAGCCTGGATATTGTGAAACTTGCCAACAGTGCGACTATGAGATTGAATATGCAGATCATAGCTCCTCCCTTGGGGTTCTTGCAACAGATGAGCTTTACCTCATGACTGCAAATGGATCACTTAACAAGTTAAATCTTGTTTTCGGGTATCTTTTCTCAGAACATTTCCCCTTCTCCCTATCCCTGACCCTGCTCTTAATGCACTGGATAGTTAAGCACCTTAATTGTTGCCAAAGTAAAGAAATAATTTGTTGCATTTTTATTTATATTAAGGTGTGCATATGATCAGCAAGGCTTACTTTTAAACACTCTGGAAAAGACAGATGGAATCCTTGGACTAAGCAAGGCTAAAGTTAGCTTGCCTTCTCAGTTGGCAAGTAAGGGAATCATTAACAATGTGGTTGGTCATTGCCTTGCAATTGATGCTGGCATTGGTGGATACATGTTCCTAGGTGATGATTTTGTGCCATACTGGGGCATGGCGTGGGTGCCTATGCTTGAAAGCCCTTCAACGTGAGTTTCAATCTCTTAAGATTTTCTTTTCTTTTTTCATTACTTAGGAATATGCCTGTTTCTAGTTTATATCATATCTAAAGGGCTCAGTCATTGGGAAAGATCGCTGGCTTTCCTATTTTTCTAAGTTATATTAATTTGAATGTCATCTCTCGCCAATTTTGTCATTATAAAAATGGCAATCTGTTGGAAGTTGATCCATATTTCCTTTCAAAAGTAGGAAGCCCATAAACTTAAGATTGAATTTCTTCACAACTTTTAATCAAGAAAACTTTATAATATTTTTTTTTTGAATGTCTTCTGTGTACCTTGACCAAACAAGGTTTCTTTAATTCTGAGTTCTGTTATGCATACCTGACATATTATTGCAAATAATTTCCTCGTATCCATTTCTCTTCCCCTCTTTGTTCTAACCATTTTGATCCATTTTCTCTTTATTCTCTAATTCTATTCCAATACCTTGCTATACTTAGGTAAAATCCCTTTGCTTTTGACTACTTACTAATATTTCTTGATTTTGCTCCTTTCAGAGAACTTTATCTAACAGAGCTTGTGAAAATTAACTATGGAAGTCGCTCCCTCAGTTTACGTGGACAAAATGGCAACTTAGGAAGAGTGGTATTTGACAGTGGTAGTTCTTATACTTACTTTACAAAACAAGCATATTCAGAACTGGTTACATCTGTAAGTATTTTATTGTTAGCCATATAGAATGTCTGTTGGTCACTTTATTAGAAAGCTATGTCTATTGTTATGGGCCGTACTTATTGTACACTTCTTATTCATGCAGCTCAATGAAATTACAAAGGTGGGATTTGTTCAAGATGCATCAGATCCAACATTGCCCATTTGTTGGCGTACCCAGTTCCCAATCAGGTAAACTTCATAATGTTTAAATGGTAAAGGATGTGAAGTAAGAGAAATGAATTTTGGATACGGGAACCTTATCAGCTCTTGTTTGGATGGAGCTCCTGAATTAATGAAAACTGTCCACGAACTCCAAGCTTACTAATTTATCATCTTGGTGAAAATTTGTAGTGTATGTTCTTTGGAGTTAACAAAACTTCAATGAAATAGATTTGACTCCCCTGAGGGAACAGAGAAGTAAATATTGAGTTAAACGAGTTACTTTCTTAGGGTTGGTTCTTTACATACCTTACATAAATTCATTTTTCCTTCCGATTTATCTTACAGTAATGATTGTGATATTCACTTTGTTTGTCTGCAATATGACCATATATGGGCTCTCAAATTGGATCTGATATTGAAGCTCTACGTCATAACGGTCTAAAAATTGTATCTTTTTATGCAGATCAATTCTAGATGTTAAGCGGTCCTTCAAGACTTTAACCCTTCAGCTTGGGAGCAGATGGAGGATAATCCCCAAGAAGCTTTCAATCTCACCCGAAGGCTACTTGATCATTAATGTAATGATCTCTGGCTCTCATTCACTGGTTTCTTTTGCCATGCTACTTGATGCCTAATTATATGAAAAAATTTCCTGATGCCTGATTGTGACATAATCTTCTGTTCTGCAGAAGAAAGGCAACGTCTGCTTAGGAATCCTTGATGGAAGTGAAGTTCATGATGGGTCCACGATTATACTTGGAGGTAAATTTGTTAAAAGGAGAATAAAACGAGCTTGGCATTGAAATATTTGAAATTTTGTCCTCCCCTCCCCCTACCCTCATAATTTACCTTTTTCATTTTTATGGATCGTTATATACTAGAATTTCCTGCCTAACTCCGTTTTCTTTCGTCCAATCCTTGAGATGCTCCCTACGTACAGATACTTTTTCTTTGATATTCTTTTATAGACTTTCAATCAATCAGTATTCCTTCTAGCCACCCAGATTGTACAAGTTTTCTTCTCCTTTTTTGATTATTTACATCAACCCCTTTGCAGACGTCTCACTGCGTGGGAAATTGGTGGTGTATGACAATACAAATAAGAAAATCGGGTGGGCACAATCAGATTGTGTGAAGCCAGGAAGCTTCAAGAACCTCCCATTTTTTGAGAGATAGGTCAGTGTACTTCTTGAAGAAAGTGGGCTGTACATATACCGAGTTTGAGCTTTTGTGTGTTGCGAGTCTGCTGACTTTGTGCTTATATAGTGTGTGTGCATATTATATATTATATGGTACAGACGCAAATATTATCTGTATGCTATTAACAATAGAAGAATTTCTTAATAGTTATAGTCCCTGCCCAATATTAAGGTACCAAGTTATGGAATTCTCGAGGATTACTTGATTTCAATTTTGGAGAAGTCGGAGATATTCCAAATGGTGCCTAACTCTCCAGGATGAATTTCCTTTTTGGTCAATCTATGAAGATGAATATTGCTTTAAATGGTGAGCAGAATTACTCAAAAGAAACTGTGAGTTAAACATCTTTGGTTGAACGAACAGGGAGTCAAAAAGAATGACTTTAGATTATTGAAGAAAGACCGCTGCTATTCCCTGATATGCTATTCTTGAACAAAGTATCATTCCGTTGACTAATTTCCATACAATTGATTTAAACAAACAAATTTGCGAATAAATGAGATGCTAAAGGGTTTTTGTTTATTTTTCATCGATGATTGAAACTGAATTTTAAATCCTTAGACAGTACTATTCCATAGCTGAGAGGAGATTGAAGCAATTGGCTGAACATTTCACCATAACATTGGCACATAACTCCACTAAAATACACGTAAGGAAAGTTACTTCTTTTGCTAAAGTTGCACATACGAGGGTACCATTCGATCCAAAGAGGATGGTCTCAAGCGGTTTGTAACCTGTGACTCCTAAGTTACAGATCCAAGTTCGAATCCTTGAAGTGGGTTGGGGGGTGATTATGGGAAGAGAAATCATCTGGTGTACCAAAAAATACGCCAGAGTACCATTCAAAGCATAGAAAGATCAGAATCCCACTGAAGGACTTCATAGCAACGCAGCAAGATATTACATCTGACAGTAAAATGACTTTCTGAATTTCAGGGGCAAAAAATAACAGAGAGAAAAGCAGATGTGACAAAAAAGAACAGAGGGACTAATGACATTATCTAACTTGACATCATAACCTGGTCGCTTGATTGTAATGCTTGGTTGGCAAAGAATCTAACATCAACATCTGGATCTTCACTCAACTCCACCAAGCATGGACGGATAGCTTTCTCCACCACCTGCATTGTTTGTGAACAATCACCATCAATTTCAAATCCAGAAACAATTTAAGCCTTTTGTATCTAGTCCTTACACATGCTAATGGTGAAATTCTTCTCTCCATTCTCAGCAAGCTAGGAGGCAAAATAGCATTTTGAGAAGGGCAAATGCACACAACTGAGTCTGAGGGAAGAAACTTGAAATGAATTGCAAACAGTACCAAATTTCTATAGAATTGATGAAACCCACCTAGCCTAATTTTTCTTTTTAAATTATCATTCTTCCCCCTTTAAGCAATCCAGCATAATTACGGTGTCAAATTTCTCTAGATTTGATGAATCCCACCGGCCCTAAATTTTTTTAGGTTATCATTTTTTCTCTTTTAAGGAATCCAGAGTAATCTTAATCTTGCACATCCTAAGGCTAGGCATGGAAACAATAAACAAATCTCACCAGATAAAATATTACACAACTAGAAAGCATGCTGGATTACTAGCAATGCTCAAAAGAACCAAATATTGGAGTTTTTCTCAAATTTCATTCAAAGTGGTCACTTGAAAAAGATACTTACTGACTGATCAACAATAGGGATAAGTGACTGCAACACCTTGGCCACATTGAACTTGATGTTGGGTACCCTGTGTTATGTTCTCACTTCTCAGCCTCAATCAAAAGATCAGAACAAATGACTATTTGAAATCAAACCTTTGTGGTCCAGCTGCATTACCTATCTTTTGAAGCATTAATGACCACAGGAAGAAGTTTTGAGCAAGTGATATCTGAACCCATAACAGGGGCAAGTAGAGAAATTGCATGCAGAATGGTCATTCGATACAGATAATGAGGGTTATTAATCATATCCAAAACCTGTCAATGCATTCAAAAGTTCAGAAGAAAGAAGAGCGGAAGTTAGGAGGCACACTCTACCCTGAAAGATATTGACATATGAAACATGAAAATAAAATAAAATAATGCCAACCATTATAAGATATATATAATCAAGCAAACCTGTGGAACAATGTGCTGCATTGCCCACTCTGGCCCAAATTCTTCTGCAAGGCGTTTCACATTATTAGCAGCTGCATCACGAATTGAGTAAACCTACAAAGAGTATCAATGTGACCATCAGGGTGAATATATTGGACTTTCAAACATTACCTGAAAGTTATGCACCAAACCATGCCTCTTAAAGCCAGAAAACACATACAAAAGATAAAATAAAAATAAAGAAAACACATGGTATCATAATAATATCAATAAGCAGCAAAGCTGATATAATTAATAGCTGGTAGAAAATAAGTTCTATGACAGTAATTGATATCACAAATTGCAAAAGCACAAAACTAAAGAGGAAAGATAATTTCAGACCAACAAAAAAGAGTTTGCATATAGAAGAGGTAGATAAAGGAAAATTATAACTACAATAAAATCAGAAAGAAACAAGCTCTACACCCAACCAGTTATTAGTATTAGTCAATTTCAACAAGCCTTCATACCTTATCTTTTAACCATTGCATGCAAAGAGCCCCAAGCTTATCATCAAAGAACCCAACACCCAACTGACTTGCCAACAAAGGTATGTATTCTATTATTGCAAGCCGAACCCTCCAATGCCTATCCTCCGCAAGCTCCACAATTGCTGGCAATAGAGATTGGGATAGCAGATCAATTCCAATCACCTGCATCACTGATCAGATTAACAATGCTGCTTTTTTAACAAAATATGAAATATTTGAACATACTCAGTATATAGTTCTGGTACAGCAGTAGCTATTGTGAAACAATCATATCCAAGAACAAGGGAACATCAACTCCAAGTCAAGCATTAATTTCTATGAGAAATTTCAACTTGAAAACTGCAGAATTTGTGTTAACAAGAAAGCATTAATTTCTATTTTCATTATGCATCTGTAGTAAGAAAAGAGGAAGAAAATTCCTACAAGGTCAACATTTAACAGGACTTAAACTCTAGTTCCACCATGTTTAGATGAAAGTTGCCCATGATATAACATTCTTACTTTTATCAGCCAAAGAGTCCCAAAGAATTTTTGAAATTGCCCATTTGCTTCATATTCAGAGACAGACTGAATTATTGAATATTTAGATGGTAATTGACAATGTTAAATGATCAAAGTCCAACTCAAATAAAAGACAACAGAGAACCTCAAATGCAATCGATACTTAGATAACACCATAAACACTCCTCTTATTAATAGTTTGATAGAAGCATTGAGATGGACAGTTATATCACAGGGACAATAAAAAGGGACCAATTAATAAACAGTGAAGCTTACCATGTTAAAGCATCACAACCTAAAACCAATTTACAATATGTAGAAAGACCCAATTTAAATACAGAACCAAAGGAGACCCAAAAGCAATTGGATATGGAATAATGCTACTAGTTAATGAGTTTACTTGTCTCATCTTAGAAAATCATGCAAGCTTACTTCACCTATTTTATCACCAATACAACACAAAATCGAAAAAGAAAAGATAATGATATGTCATCACCTCTCTTAATAAATCCTAAATGACTCCTTAACTTCAAACATTGTGACAAACCTGGTTGACTTGATCAAGCTTGCTAATGATGTTTAGTCGGACATCAGGAAATTCATCTTTCAGCAGAGAGAGGAATATAGGAAGCAATTGCTCAATTGTTGCATCCTGCAAGCAGAGATTATGTTATATGGCAAAGAGGAGATAAAGCATCATTCTTCGTGAAAAAAAAAAAAAAGGATTGGTTGGCATATATAATTAGAAAGCAATGTGAACACTGCAACCACCAAGGCATCTTTATGGTTATGCCTATCCAGATATGATGAAATAGATCATAATACAGTTCTCTCAACCATTACACAACATTATAGAAAACAAGCAACAATCTATCCCATTCAATTTTAAATAGATCATCAGTTATCTGGATTCTAGAAAGAAAACGCATTGACCATTAGGTAGCACAACAGACTTGATCGCCAATAAGAGAAACAGTAAACCAACTTAAAGCTGGGGGTCATATCTGAATGAAGCTGCTAGAGCCTAAGAGAAACAATAATTTCAGAACTAAATTATTAAACAGTTATGCACACTTCTATCCTAACAAATATCACATTCTATACAATCCCTACTCGCTAATAGAGAGAATCAAATGAGTTCATTTGAGATGGAGTGAAAACACATAAGCCAAAGCAGAATTGTTACCTTTCCTAAAACAGGTGCCATTCCCATTATCACTGAAGCCAAGGCAGATCGCACATGCTGGGAAGAATCTGTTGACAGCTCCTACAGTAGGCAATCCTAAAATAGTCAGACAGGATATAGCAAAACTGTACAGAAGTAGATTAAAGCCACATAGTCAGCCAAGAACTGGATTAAAAAACTGACTGTTCCAAAAGAATATATACCTTGACACAAGGAAGAATATGTTGAATTGCAAGATCTGGATTTAAAATTCGACAAAACTTAGTTACTTTCCCTGCAGCAGCTATGCGCACTTCAGCTTCATTATCACGAAGTAGCCGAACATATGCAGGAACAAGGTCCGACCTAAACACATAATCACATGATTCAATGAAATGCACAATCTCTAAGAAAACAATAACATGATTCAGAAAGCCAAAAAAACAAAAAAAGGGTTTATTGATCTGGAAAGAAAAATAGGGAAAATAGATATTTAGTCCTCTTTACCACCCCCCCCCCCCTTTTTTTGCGCTTTCTCAACCAAATTTGTCTAACTTCATCAAATTTTAAACAGATCATATCAAATGCTTGAAAAATTCCAGTTGAACAGAAAGGAAGAAAGCAGTTACCTGAACCAAATGTTTTTAAATCATAAACACATTAGAGGGTCTCACCTTGTGGAGGAGAATGAATAGCAACAGGTAAAGAGATCATGGACAACAATCAACAGCAAATGCATAATGTACAGGACTAGCACTTACCTGCTAGGCTCAGGACCAACAGCTTCACATAGTTCATACAATTGATTTGCTACCATATAACGGACACGCCACGACTTATCCTGTGAGCCAAACATGGATATAATTCACCACTAAAAGACAAGAATATCATATCAACATGATTAATCATAATATAAATAGGAAACTACTGATACCTGACAATTATGTTGAAATTGCAAAACAACCCCTAAATAATCAAAATATAGATCAATCCTACATGGTATATATTATATCTTCAGTGAATTGTTCCTTTGATTGTATCCACCTAGAAAGGAGGCCTTTAATTCAAGAGGAAAAGGAAGAGCACAGAGCTTAGAGCCTTAGCTCAGTGATGGGGCAACTTGACACAAAGATGGCAAGAGTAATATTACAAATTACAACTTAGCAATTCTTTATACAGCTGGAAAAATAGGGGGTAAACATGTCCTAAAGAATAGTGCAAAGTTTGGCCTTTATCATTGGCAACCTAGGTGCAACAATCCAGATCATTTCTCCTTCCAGTTTCTTTATCATGACAGGAAGGTGATTATTTTTATTTGCATACCTTCTCTTAACAAGGGACAGCAAACTACAAGCCTAAAAGATAACAAGCATAATCCCTAGAACTCACCAAAAGAACATCAACGTTTAAGATAAAGATGGTCTGAAGTCACTAGATTTATGAAGTAAAATTAAAAAAAAAAAAAAAATGCTATACCTGTGAGAAATTAACTATGACAGGGAGAATATGTGCCACACAATCTTGAGGTTCCAACAACTTTCCAAGGGCTGCACAACCCTCAACAGCCAGTAACCGAACAGAATCTTGGTCTGGAAAGAAAAATAGGGAAAATACAAATTTAGTCCTCTTTTTATAAAGCAGCTTTACAGCTAGGAAACAAAATATACACAATTCAGAACTGAACCAAACTTGGAAAAGGGCATCATTGAAAATGAGAATATAACTATGGGTCAAAACCATCTTGAATACCTTATTAAGCCTCCGTATGCTTACTTAAGCAACACTAGCATAATTTCCTCAGTTATCCTTGTACAACAATTTGCAAATATTAGGAAAGAGACTGCTTATTCTAGAGATAAACAAAGAATCAAAGATCAAATCTAGAACTGGCTTCTTATTCTCTATGCATAAACAAAAGACCTGAAATTTCAACGTATCAATAATACCAGTTTCCTGAATAAGATACCAATGCTTTATTGACCAACATACTCCCTTTCTAAGCAACAGGGAAACCATTAGGTCACTAAGCACTGTCCTATAAAAGTACAATTATCTAGCCACCATTCTTTAACCCCCATACCTTATCATTCGCTTTCATCCATGAATTGCAAATATACTATAAATGACTTAGCAGCGGAGAACAGTAAGCAGATTTTAACATATACACCATACATAGAGTCTACGTACCATCCTGTGTTAGATCATCAAACATAGACATTATTTCAGTCTTCAGATGAGCTGCTTCAACAGTAGCAGCAAATTTTCCAAGATTTGTAGCAGCAGATCTCCTGACCATTGGCATATCATCTTGGCACAGCTGACTGTAGATTGCTCTTAGTTCAGTTTTTAATGCCTCTGGTGCACTTGGGTACGCAATATGAAACAAGCCACAAGAGGAAACACGAGCAGTAAACCACTCACCACCAGCCAACCTCTGGACAATGCAGATAAAAATATTTTAAGGGAAAAGATATACAAATAGAGAAAACTACAAATTAAGTAGTGAATTTTTGTATAGCAATTAGAAGCAAATTAAGTAAATAACTACAAATAGAGAAAACTATATCAAAGAACGAATTACACAATGGCATAACGGGATGTCACAACATTTAGTTGCAGTGTCCTAGGACTTAGGATATAATACCATTACTCTAGTGACAACGAGGCAGATTGCAGGGCATGAAAATGTGGTAGCTTTCATACACCACACATGCTCCTAAAGTAGAATGGGAAGTTATCTCTAACGCAAGTATTTTTATAGGCTACCTAGGTTTGCATTTATTCATGACTAAGTTTCTTCTGCTATGTATACAGTTCATACAATCAAAAAAGCTAAATCAAAATTTATATTGTTAAGTTTTATTTTTCATTATCAATAGCATACTCTATCAAATCTTTCCTAAGATATAGAAGCAGAAACAGAGATCCTATACCATGCACTCAGCCTTAAAACTAATGAGTAAGCTTATACCAGGCACTCACATCTTAAGGCATCGAACTTCCCAATATTTTAGTTCAGTCGTTTATGCTATGTAAATTTGATACCACATAATGCATATATGAAACACTTCAAATTATCTCTCAACAGTATGGTGTTACAAAACTAAAAACAAAAAAATTATACATATACATTTACAAAAAAAAAAAAAAAGAAAAGAAAATGGTAACCAACCTTCACTAATGGAATAAAGTACTCAACCAAGTCCTGCACCCTGATCTGAGCACCAATTCTACACAAGGACTCCACTGCCTTGTCCCTTACACAAGTCTCCTCAACCGTACAGAGAGTCTCCAATGGCAGTAACAGAACATTTGCATAATCCACACCTCCAACATAGGGAATAAAAATCCCCAGTTCTTCAGCCATTGTAAGGAGCACTTCATCATCGTCATCATTGTTCTCGCATAAAAAAGGTATCAATTCCTTGCGTGTCCTCTCCGCCCCAAGAGCTAGGGCAATCGTAGTGAGGCGGCGGATAGAGTTTAACCTAAGCTGAATATCTTCATTCTTCAGCTCATCAATCAGCACCGCAATAGGATACAGAGGCTCGTCAATCATTGACATACTGCCTCACAAGATCTCTGGAGCAGCAAGCAATACACAATTAGTACATAACCCATGCATACGCATATCCACAAAAATTCCTATCTAATAATTACCCTTATTTTTCAAAAAGAAAAATTACTAATTTCTCTCAAGAAACCAAATATTTAGATGTCCATCATTTTCCTCCATTTTCTGAGCAACCAAACAGGCTGACAAACCACAAATTAATTAATTAAAAAAAGAAGAAGAGATTTTCGTACATTAATTAATGCTTAAAGCGAACAAAAAATTGAAAATAAAAACGTCAAAGATTCTAAGCTACAATTACGAACTTGAAAACGAGTAGAGAAAAGATCTGATTCATACAATTTTTTGCTTTCTGCATTCGGAAATGGAGAGAGTTACCTTGAGGCTTGAGGTAGGCGAGCTCAGCTGTGTTTCGATCTACAAAGGCACCGGTGAAAATGGAGAGATCTATAAAGCCAGAACTCGATCTTCGACTTCGGGGGTTTTCTTGACCAGAACTGAGAATGCCCGACAATTGGCAATACGACGGAGTCGACGGGATTCTCTTGTGATACCTGGCCTGGCCCATTAAGGCCCAGGCTTGGTCTGGCTTCAGCCTGACCCAACTTTTCCTTTTCTCTCGTTTTTCATTTTTGTTTATTTTAATGGAAGATAAACTTTTTTTTTTTTTTTATAAAAAGAATATTGTGCAGTTAGGATAGCACCATACTGAATAATTAAAAATATTAAATAGAAGGTAGATTCCCTGACATTAGGATTGCCTTATTCAAAATGTTAAATATTATTTTACTGTTTTCCACTTGACTAATGAGGTGATCTCAATGCTATTGGGGAAAATGTCAGAAGTAGTTTTTGATCTAAGGCTAGCAGTGATATCCATCACGACAAAAATGTTGGATTTTAGCAAGTAATAATCAACAATATAATTTGGTTTGTGAGTAATAGTAAGATTTATTGATGTGACATATGTTGGTAATTAATACAATAATACCATGTTGCATCTATAAGTGGGCCGTAGAACTAGCAACAAGAAATATGTCACTAAAACAAAAATTAGTAACATGCTATACCTTGTTAAAATTTTCTTACCAGTAGAAAATTTAGCAACATCAAATATATTACTAATTTCATAAATTACCAACGTGACTCACATTGCTATTTTGCATTGACTAACCGCTTTACCTAACTTTCAATTGCAAGACCATTATTATGACACACATTTATTTATATATAACCCTTTCTTGCTTTCTAATCCTTATTATTTGTCCCTTACTCTATCAATTCAATTCGTATTTTCTATTCTCTCACATAATTATTTTTTCTATTTTTATTTACAAATAATTACTTTTGTAAATTATTAAACTCTTTTCTTTTTATTACTTTATCAACAAGTATTTTTCTAATCTATCTACAACAATCTGGGGATGAGACATTATTAAGGATTAGCATGTAATGCACCACTCTGATGAGTGACAAGAGACTTGGCAATGTAATGATAATAAAGATTTTAGCAATGTAATACATATTGCTGAAGTATCAATCAGCAATGCTTCCAATGTCAGTGAATGCCAAAACTTTTCAGAATTGTATCAAAATTTTACTTTTTAGTTTTAGCAATGTAATTCATGTTAGTGATTTCTAACTTTTTGAAATTTAAATATTTATTAGCATTAAGGAATATGTTGGTGATTGGGGGGCTTTAGGTGAGTTACCTTACTAGATAGCTTGACAATGTACGTTGCTGAATAAAAGTGTAGCTAGAAGTGTAGTTTAAATAACATTTAGCAACATGATATATGATGCTAAACGCTTTATATATATAAAAAAAATTGCAAAGCATTCTTTATTTCATTCTTTTTTCCTCCCTTCTCATACAATTTTCTCCTTTTCTTCTCTTTTTCTCTACACAGTTTTACTGTCTTATCCTCTATTTCTGATCCATTTTCCTCCATTGTCCACCAAGTATCCTCCATTTCTCCTCCTTTCTCATCAAATTCTCATTCATATGTCATTAATTCAATTTGCATCAATTCATCAATTCCTTGATTCTTTTCAATCATATGTTGTAATTTTATTTTATTTAATATTTTTTGTGAATATTAAGTGTTTAAGTTGGTTTCAATTTATTTTCAAGTTTATAAAATTATAAATAACTATACATAATAATTAACATTTTCATTATTTTGTTTGTTTTGTAGGTAATTCTCATTAGAATTGAAAATTAAAGTACGATAAGATCTCTAAATCTACATTAATTGGCTTGAGTTGTTTAATTTAATTGTATTTAGTTAAAAATGTATAGATGATCAATATAGATATTGATTATTCAATTATATTTATTTTTTTATAGGTTAAATTTATTATACTGTACATGAGTTATTATTAAATATGATATATGATGATTGTAATTATAAAAATAAAGTGAAGTTCATATTTAAATTATGCATTTTTTTACGTATTAAAACTAATGAACAATTATTGATGATTTTGTAAGGAAATAGATATTTTGTCTTATTACTTTTGAAATGGTTGCTTAAAGATATATGTGTGTGTATATATATATATATATTACATATATATATAGTTATATGTATTTGTATTATATTATGTTTTTGATTTTGGACAAATGTGGTAGTATAATTAAAGAAACAATTATGTAATTTATATTTTTATAGCATTAATGTTTATTTTAGTAATAATAGCATGAAATTGTTTGAGATATATGTAATAAATGTAGACAATTTTTTCAAATATTAGTGGAATTGAGGTTAGTGGTGATGGAATGATTTTAATAGAATAAAATGTTGATGAAATTAGGAATTTATTGAATTAGTTGTTTAGGGAATATATATATAAAATATTGGGACAAAGAATTATAAAATTGAATTTTTTTTTTAGAAGGCAAAGTACTATAGCATTATGCCATATGTTAGTGAAAGTATGAAATAGCAATATGCACCATTGTCGGTGATTTTAATGGAAAGTGCCACCCAAATTTCAAATTTTGAATGCTTAGCTTTGTAAGGCTCATATGTGAAATTGGAAAATTACTAGCATGATACATGTTGCTACTCTTAAAGGTTGTTGAATCAATGGAGGGTGGCTTGTCACATGCGTCTAAATTAGTACTGTATGCTACGTTAGTGAATGCAGACATTCACTAACATGGCATGTGTTGCTGTATAGGTTGCATATTTTCGATGAGCAGCTTTAGTGACTATACATTAGTATGTTAATACTTGTCGATGATGTTTTATTGAGCAAGATGTTGCCAGCAAAAGAATCTCCAACACTATCTATATATATTGTTGCACCATTTTCAACAACATATTCAAGACTTCCACCAACATGCTTTTATATTGCCGAAATCTTGCATTTTAGTAGTGCATCTCAAAACTTGTCTCTTACTATCTTTAAACAAGAACTAACATTCTTAACAAAAACTAACACTCTCAAACCCACTAGTGGATTATTAGGATGTATTTCTATTTTTTTAAAAATTATTATTAAAAATAAATAATAATATAAATATATAAAAATATGATATTAAATAATTAATTTATAAATATTTTAATAAATTTAAGAGATCTTTTAATACTTTATGATAAAAATTGGTAAAATTAAAATTGTTTTACCAAGTTTAATTTATTTGATTTAAAATTCAATTAATTATAAGATTAAATTAAAAAATATTTTGACACAAATATATAAAGTAAAAAAATAATTATTAAAAAAAACTTCAAGAAAATAAAGACAAAAAAAAAATTTATACAAATGGAAAAAAATATAAATTAAGTAAAATATATTTATAAAAATGACAAAAATTTTACAAAAATTATTAGACTAATTGTTATTGCTCAATTTAAAATTTTTACTTACTAAAATACACAAAGTCAAACTCACTTTTAGAGAGATAAAAAAAGAGGAGAGAGAAAAGAACAGTATAGGATTAATTCTACAGTTTTTATACTACCTAAGATGCCATAAACTTCACTGTTCTAGAACTTGGGGCATCTAAACATTCTGATCCAAGATTTAAGGGGTTATCAGCATACCATTGGTGTTGGTTGCTCAGAAGGATCTTTAAAATTTGCCTTCTGACTTAACTCTTCAAATGAGTCCACGACATTTTGCAGCCTTGCAACAAATTCAATTAAGAGTGAACTGAATGTTGCTAGTGATAATGCACTTGCACTCTCATATGTTTTTGACTCTTCTTCTAAGTTAGGCATTGCACCAGCAACAAAAGAAACACCATTAGTCCATGATATCTGCTTCTTGAACTTATCCTCAGAGAGAACGTCGGGGGCCTGTTTAGAGTTCACATCAGTATTCGTGGTCTTACAGTCCCAACTCTTTGGTATTGTAAGTGATCTGAGATCGAGAACAGCTTCACTATAAGACTTACAATTCAGAACCTTATTTTCATCATTATCCAAGTTGAGAAGATCGTGACCGTCTGCCTGACCCTTTTCTCGGTTCCCAATTTCCCAACTCTCAGCATTGACTAGAAGGTATGATTTTCGGTCAATTTTATCTTGCAACTCTTCTGCAGCCTCACTTACTTGACACAGAATGTCCACAGAACCTAATTTCTCCATGTTTTTTATTTTGTTCCCAATTTCACGCAAGACTTTAGCACCTTTAGCACCTACCTTCTGCAACTCTTCACGAAAGACCTGTCTCCGCTCAGCTGGAGCCTAAAAACACAAACATTGGAAGCTAAATATGCATGTAGTTGAAGGAATATCACATGTCACTTCACCAAAATGATAAAAATTTCATTAGATAATTTTATGAAAGATTGAATACTAGTGATATATTTGACACTGTCAAACCATAGTTGGCTTAATGGCAATACAAATTCCTCAACACCATGTTTTTCACTATTTCATGGATGGACAAATTTGACCAGAGACTGCGGTAAAGGATAAAAAGAAGAGTGCATTACAAAAAGACAATGAGAAAGTGACCAGGAGATAATGAATTTTAGTAAATTATCATTATCAATCAGGATTCAGCATGCCAAACATTTTAAAAGCAGCATAACATTCCTGTTGTGGATTATTATTTCCATAGTTAAATACATGCTAATCAAAAACAGACTATTCAGACAGTTGACATGGGAAAACCACGGAACTGGATTGCTACCTTTGATAATCATTTTTGAGGCACAGAAAAAGAGATATTGGAGGAGAAACTATTAAGGACCTAAAGACTATAGCGAGCTGTATGTTTAATGTACATACTGTTAATAGGCAGCATTACCCCATAACAACCATTTTCATTTGAAACCAAACAGGGATGAGCTGGCAGTTAAACCCTGAAGGAACCAACCTGTCCCCAGTTCCAATCATGTCAGCTTCAACTTAGAGAAAAAGTTACTCTAAAAGAACATAATAAGAGAAAGGAACCCCTTTGAGAGAGAAACAGACACTAAAGTCAAAGGTGGGATGAGCTGAGCAGAAGCATTTAGCAACATTTTGCTTTAGTATACATCAAAAGAATCACATTACAAGACAAATGACTGGACAAGTAACATATCACAAAAATACTTAACTGAGGCCCAAGAATGTCATTATCATATTTTCACTAAACAAACAAAAGAAATGATACAAGTACCCAGCACAATAATTTTCTAGAAATCAGTTGGAACTTTTTTTTTTTTGGGAACTAGTACAATTGGGGGATGGGGAATGGGATTACCAAGACTTGAATCTTGAACTTCTAAATGCCACCACGCTTCTCAAAGAAGTTGTGGCCATTGGACCACAATGGTGGTTGGCTAGAAACTAGTTGAAACTTGAAACTGAAATACCTCAAAACCCATAAAAAGAAGATTTGGAAAGCAAAAGTAACCATTGCTACAATAAAAAATAAAACTAATACTGGAAGTGACCCTAGGGTAATAGTATTGTGAAAAAAGGTCATACTTTTAATTGCAATGCTGTAAAAGTTAAGAGATGGAAAACATAGCTACCTGTATTTCTGAAAGGATACAGCCATGCAATGCCATGACCATGAACGCACAATGCCTCAGTGCTCCACTTACTTTGATATAATTCTTCCATGGATATCTAAATGACTTGTACGAACCATGAGGTGGTTCCCAGATAGCAAAACCCAGCTGTCATAAAAAAGGGCAAAAAAAAAAAAAAAAAAAAGCTAAGAAAAAAAGATTCTTCCAACTTCCAGGTTACTGTTTAACAATCTATGATAAAAGCAATGAGAAGTACCAGAGCGTCTTCCTGGCTTGTAGATTGTAGAGCTGATCTGTACCCTCTGTAAACTGGGTGATCTGAAGCTTGGTAAGTAAGAATTCTGGAAGGGATCCTTTCATATGCCACACAATTAAGGTACTCATTAATACAACCTGAAGAAATGGCAAAAGAAATTACAAGCATAAGAATGAAGTTGAAATTTGTGGCACTAGATAATTTACACAAAGTACAAGAATTAACCTTCCAAGGAAGTTGCCACATTGAAAAAATTTTTCACCACCAAACCATGTAGATCCTCACCAGCCCAAATGGGAAAAATGCATATGTTTACCACCAGACAAACAGCAGCACCCAGTGCAATTAACAAGAATCGTGTCACAGCTGTATGGATAAATTCCCTTGTCCTATACCCAGACACCATAATGAAACAATATGTCAACAGAAACACTCGAAATCCATATTCATAAGGCTTCAATGTTGGATGCAGTTTTGCATAAGTAGTAATAAATCCTGGAAATAGAAGACAGGTTAGAAAGATATAGACTAATTGCAGTTGTCTTAGAGAGAACTTCAATGGCATAACCTAGTAAACAACAATAAATGAGAAATCATACCTACTATGAAGATACTGATAATAATAACAACTTCTTCCCCTTCTCCAGCAAATTCTGACAATTCAGCCATGCCTAAAGCAAGCCCTCCAGCTGAAAGTGTCCCTAGTCCACGGTTAAATCCTTTGCTAAGTGTTGCACCTGCAGTGAAAAGAAATGACCACTAAAAGTAAGGATAAATTTGCTCATGTTCTTTATGCTAGTCTGATAGATTTGTCACAGAATGACAGTAATTAGAAAACATGAGATGACAAAAATGATGGACTATGAAGAAAGTAACCATACGGGTATTAATAGTTGAAGATAAAATCAACAATTGATTACCACCCCCTCAGTTGCTAAAACCCTACCATATATGAACAGAGGCTAATCTACATAAAGAATTAGCATGCCTAATACCACCATAAACCAAAAAGCTTCAGTTCAGCCCTTAAGGGAAGACCGAAAAATAAATGCATATGAGTTAACAATAGAACCAATTGTACAAATTAATTTTCCAAATGTAACTGTACCGTAATTTACTTGCATAAAGGTTTATTATAAGTAGAATTTAACTTAAGTGCCGCGACATAGCTAGAACACTGTAGTAATTGAATATCTAGCTCGTCCAAAAGTCAATCCACAACAGAAATTAGTCAAAAAAAAAAGAAACTTTAACTATATCATAGCTAAAAAGTAAAAAGAATACATTCACCAAAACCAGACATTTTCTGAGGAACCAATAAATTACTTTTACTGAACCCGAATTCAGCGACAACAGCATATGCATATTAAACACATCAGTCATGTATATACAGATTATTAGCTTATATAAACAATCTCCATCCCC